CTAACTACTAAGTACTAAGTACTAAGTACTAACTACTAACTACTAACTACTAACTACTAATAACTACTACTACTACTACTACTACTACTTCTACTACTACTACTACCACCACCATTACTACTACTACCACCAGTAGTACAACCACGAACACCGCCGCCACCACCCCCACCACGCCCACCACCACCAGGCTTTTGTGTGGTTGCCCGCATCTTCTCAGACATGCCTCGGGCGCACCTCAAAAGAAACCTGTCACAGCTTCGTGTTGATAACCTTTTGAGCTATGGCTTTGCTACATCGGTTTGGGTCTGCGTTGTACTTTGGCTGGGCCTGTTCTTCAAGTTTTGCAGATTGAAAGCTGGTGAAACAACGAAGGCACGGGCAAGTGAGACACGCAGCATGCTGTGCCGCAGAAACAGCAGAAGCAGCAAGAGCATGAGGAGACACCTCTTGTCACCGAGTTCTTTGCCGTCACATTGCTGGCCAGCCGAGGTACTACATGCGCTTTCTGCCATACCCCGTCAGTGCAGGTTTCGTCAGTGGCATTGGGAGCCTGGACAGGCATGTTGGTTCACAGTTTGCAAATCCCGAGTCGAACCAGAACTGAAGTGCCCCGCCTGAGCAAATGCACCCGAAATGAATCTGGACATGAACTCGCACTGAAACCTGGCATGAGAAGCAAACCCACCATCCCTTCCTTCGCTGGATCGCGAACCCAACCCCGAGCTGGAGCTCGGACTCAGAATCAGCCATCCAATCAGACTGGTTACAGAACAGTTACAGGTATTCTATGCGTTTCCGTTTTCAGTATTCCTGCTTGCCATGGTCATGATGACGTTGATGAGGATCATGAGGGGGAGGAGGAGGCGGACGGTGCGGCGGAGGAGGAGCAGGAGGACGAAGATGAGAGGAGGAAGGGGACGAAGAGGACGAGGACGTGGAGGAGGATGACGAGGATGGTCATAATGATGATGGTGATAGCGTGGAGGTAGTAATTACAGTAATAGTACAGCAATAGTACAGTAATAGTGCAGTAGTACTACAGTAGTGTAGTGCAGTGTTTTCTCCGGCCTCTGCTATCCTCTTCTCATTCAAGACTGGCCATGAGCAGAAAGCACGGAAGAAACAAGAAATAGCCGACGGGCAAAGACACATTCTTGACTTCACGAAATTCTACCGAGTAATATGAATATATATATATACACACACACATAAATTTATATACATATATATATATATATATGTCCCGAAAAATCGCATCAAAGGACGTCACCTAGCTAACGACCGTGACACATTAGTCTTCACTTCTATTTCAGCATTTGAGTCCGGACTGTTGCTCCTTGCTAGGCCGCTAGGCTTGCTGGGTCGGGTCTATTGTGGAATGGAATTCTGCCGGGGCCGGGGGGTAGCGGGGAGGGGGACGGGTCTCGTGATTGGGGTTGGAATTTTGGAGTTTGAGGTTTGGCTTGGGATGGATCCTCGCGGACGCCCTCCCGCTCGAGAAAAATTGAAAATGCATCACGCCTGCACGTACCGAAGTCTTGCAAAGGATGATGATCTTCGATGGCGGCTTGGAACTTGGATGTGGCCTGGCATTGAATCGGCTGTTCATCCTCAGACGGTACTCTATTTCTGTTTGGAGAGTCGCTCCTGCACTCACAAGCACCGAATAGAGTCAACACAACATGAAGTTTGATCGCAACATCAACACTTCTGGTAGTATGTACACGAGAACTCTAGAGTGCGAGCGAGAAGTGTATCGTTGTTCTATCTCATGTTCTGCCTATGGCCCTAGCCCGTGACATCTGCAGGTGGCCAGGGCCTCCTTCAGTTGCTTGCAGACCTCCTAGCGGCTGCCCAATCTTTCGAGGCCTGGGTATTGACTTGAGGGACCGAACAACATTTTTCGACTGTCATGCGACTGATGAGGACTCGAAGAGTGCAGTCTAGCCTAGCCGAAAGGAACGCTAGCACAAAATATGTCCAGCTCCGCCCTCACCCGCCGACATCATCCCGGCCAACAGGTTGAGGCACCGACGATAAACTCATACTGCACACACTGGGAGGCACCTCCTCCGGAAGCAGTTTGCAAGTTGCAATCGGCTTGAACACTCTGTCTCGGTCCCTGGCAGAAGGACTGTAGCATCACGCGAAGCCGTGAAACATGCTGCCAGTGCAGCAATCACCAGCCTAGCCCACACAACCCAAGACTTTCATTAACGCCCGAAGGTCACACATGCTGGGATTGCCCTACTTCTTCGGCTTTGCCTGACCCTGGTCGGTGCCGGCATTTTCCTGGGGCTTAAGGACGCATCCCTCCGTTGTAATCAATCAATGATCGTAGCCCTGTTCAGAGGGTTTCCCGATGGCATCCCATGTCCACGACAGGAGGTTCTGGATCACCACGCCTGGGGCAGGGCCATCCGTCTTCCCTTAGGCCTCGCAGTGATCAGCTCGGTTGTCTATGGCTTCCTCTACCTCCACCCACTCAGCCTTGAAGAATTGCAGTTCTGGGGCCTCTTCATATCCGGTCTCCGGCCAGAGTCTTGGGTCGTGGAATGGGAGCTCCTGGGTTCCGGTTTTGGAAGCTTCCATGCACGGGCCTTCTTCAGTCAACCCTGTATTTCTGTCTTGGTGTCCTATGCCGCGCTGAGCACACTGGCCTTCACCTTCTACACAGTAGGCTTTCAGGACATGGCCAAAGATCCCGAGATAGAGCTCGCCAAGGATCGGAAGTGCCTGGGAATGGGCATGTTTGCAGGGTGAGGTCCTCCTGTTTCTGCGCCCTGAAAGGAAATCCGGCTTTTGGGGAAGACGAACATCGCTCTGGCTCCTTTTGCAGGTGTCCCAGTCTCACATGCCATTAAGGTATGGGTGGTTATGCGAGATGCTGGGGGCAAGACGAGGTGGTGGGTGCTGCTCTTCTCCGTCTGCTACATGGCCTTGTACTTCGATTCCACACTGCGATCAAGCCTCAGCTTCATTCCGAAATGCGCCTTCGGGGCCTTGGTTGTGTCCTTGGGTTTCGAATTTTTGACAACTTCATTGGTAGAATCACGGGAACGCATCGCAGCCACTGAGTGGCGCGTTGTCGTGGCGACCTCTGTTATAACCTACCTGAACGTCCTTCTCGGCATTCTTTTCGGTGTTGTTCTCACCACCGTCTTCTTCATGGTGGAGTACTCTGGCATGACAGGTGTGACGCAGAAAGCAACACTGTCAGAGGTGCGTTCGCATGTTGAGCGCGACGATGAGCTGAACCAGATTATTGACACTTATGGACGGCAAGTCGCAGTGTTTTGGTGTGCTGGCTACATCTTCTTCGGGACAGCCCAAGATATCGTCGAAGAGCTGCAGTCATCGCTGGATACATCCCCGTCCACGCGCATCCTGATTCTTGACTTCGAGCAGGTCCCAGCTGTAGATGCATCAGGAGTCCAGGCCTTGGTCAGCTTCGCCGAGAAGTGCCAACGGCGACGACCGGCTGTCACTCTTGCGATCAGCGGTGTCGTGCGCCGCCTGCAGCTGTCCTTGGACAGATGTATGCGCGCCTGTCAGGTGGAGATAAAGATCAGCTCGCACCGTGTCGAGAAGATGCTGGAGTGGGCCGAGGAATGGCTCCTATCAGGTCGGGACAAGGGAAGATTAAAGTCGCAACGCTCAGAGCATCAGCTACTGGCATCGAAGTTGGCAGAGAAGGCCCCGAAAGAGCAAGACGAGAAGGAGATTCTGCACTTTGTTAGCGAGTTCCTGCTGGAGATAGCCTCAACAGCCAAAGCGGAGGAGCGGATGGCCGTTGGTGAAAAACTAGCGAAGTTCGGTAGCAAGCTGAAAACTTACAGAAACGAAGAGCAACTCTATGCGGAAGGTCAGCAAGCCAAGGACCTGACTTATGTCTTGAGCGGGTCGGTGAGCATAGTTCAGAGGATCAGTCCAGACGAAGCCTTAGCTTACAAGGTGCCAAGGCACCATCTGAATGAGGAGAAGGGTGACACCTTCGCCTTTGAAGAAGAATTGGATATCCGCGTTCGCAAGCTGACCCATGGATCAGTGCTGGGTGCACTTGAGTTCGGCGCCTTCTGCAGCAGCAGGGCTCCGACTTGGCATGCCAGCGCCTGTGCTGCGCCAGATTGCATGGTGCTGCGCGTGCCATTCTCGACGCTGGAGTCTGCGATGGCCTCGAGCCAATCCGTCGGAAATTCGGTGACCTGGTTTGTTAAGCTTTGCTTCCTTAATGGGTTGGAGTCGCTCAAGTCCCAGGACCCTCATGCATCCTGTCGTTCTATTAGTGCCCTCACCACCAGAGGAGCCTCGCATCGCGTCTAAGCCTAAGTAAGATCTTGGCAGAACTGTGCAGGTGATGCAGTGGCTGTTCAAGTTGGCATCCATTCAGGTGCTGGACGTTTTGCAAGGCGTGCGCGTTAAGCCATACCGACGCATAGACCAGGAAGGCGTTTTCAAGCGTGCAGCGAGTTCGGGGGCTTCTCCACACCTTCAGCCTTTGCCTTGCAAGAACTTGGCCTTTTAATTTGTGCAGGTGTTGCGGCTGCCGCATAACAGTATGTACAGTGCTAAGAGCAGCATACCACGCTGTATTTCTCGCCGACGACTGCAGTGTTTGCAGCCACCTTTGGCTTCAAGACATGGCCCGGCCAGGGCTCAAAGGAATACATTGTGTAAATTCTGTACAAAGAGCGGACAGTCTGAGCCAAAGACAGGGTTCCAGAGACCTGGAAGTACAAATAAAGAACGAGTGTGTTTGGAAAAAGAACGCAACGGCTGGGCATATCATGGCTTGATCTCAGATACAGAACTTGGTTGACTTGATTGCCCCACCATCCAGTCATCCAGTCCCAAGCCTGTGCCCTCTTTAGACTAAGGTCCAGACCTTGCGGGATTTGCCGTTTTCATGGAGGTGCAGCAAGAACTTGCCGAAGCATTGGCAGGCGGGCATTGCGGTGGGCTCATGTACTGTCCTACGAACCGGACGAAAACGGGTGAGTGGGTACGTGACGGATTGTGGACGGCCGCAGCCCGGCTTGGAAGACGGCACACTTCACAGGAACAACAGCTCTTTGCTCGGCGATCCCTCGCCGAGGAAGCTGGGCACACTGCATGCAGGGCAGGCACGGTCCACCATGCATGCACACATGCGCCGACAGCATCCCGCAGCAAGACTACGCGCAAGAGCAATCTCAGCTGATTCTCTTGTGGCCGCACAGACTGACTTGGTACCCCTTTGGCGAGTGCGGCCATCAATGCTGAATTGGGTAACCGGAAGAGGATGTCCACTGCTAGTAATTGTTTAACTCGCATCCCAATTCTGCTCCACCCCAAGAAGCCAGCGAGTATGTTTCTGACTTCGCCAGGCTCCTCATAAACCTGATTTCTTACAGGGGGCGCATCACGTGATTTGCATCCAACTCTCGGTCTGAACGTCCTAAGATGTCCTACCCAGGGTTTGTCAGTCAGTTGTCTGCGGTGTGGTGTATTTCCATACAGACTAGTTGGGCACAGAAGTATCTTCAATGTGAATTCCAGAACCCTGGCAGCCTATTGGCCTATTGATTGTCTTGACCAAGATTCGCGTTTCGTCAAAGGAAGTTCCTCGAACATGCTGTGCCCTTGACCCTAACCTGAAGAGGCTGGTCCTTGTGGGAGTATGAGTTCGCGCACTGGCGTTATCACAAGCGGCCTGGAGCCTTGCAGATGTACACTGCAGGATAATTCCGGAAATCTTCGAACATGGATTTACTTCAAGGCTTCATGCAGGGTTTAAGGCTGTTACATTCGGGACGATCTAGGTGGGTTTGGAGTTTGGAGTGTGAAGCGCAACAGTTCCGAGTCCAACAAGGGTAGCAGGTGGCAGCCTGAAGCTGAAGGTCTTGCGTCTAGAGGTAGCCGGGCTCCAGGTCTTGCAGGCTCGGCTATCAGAGTCTGGAGACTTTCAAAGCTCTCGAGGGTACTGTTCGTCCTCATGCACCACTATTTTTCCATGTCCGGAGCTTCATCACACCGGCATACACCAGCTGCCAGCAGACAGGTTCGTCAGTCTTGGAAATGTCAGGTTTTCGCCCTTTTCTAACATCCCGAAGCTCCTGAGCCTTCAGGCATGCCGGCGGTGACGAGTTCGACCAACTTTACAACGCCCACAGAACGTTCGAAGCTCAGATCCCCGTATAAGGCGAGTCATGCACGTATGAATCATGGCTGCCCGTATGAACTGGCCCCTCAGCCCTGAAACCCTCACGATCCAGCCTATAGGCTCCTTACATAGAGACTGAGGGTGGCGACGCTGCGAGTTCTAAAAGAAATCTCGGAGGGTCATTATTCGGTTCCCGGCTTGCGCGAGTTGAATTTCATGCACTCGCATACAGATCTGACGAAGCATTTCTTATTGTGTTGGTGGACAACTTAAGCGTTTCTTGCGGGTTGTGTCCTACAGAAAATGAACCCCCCAAAAACATGTCCGAGCACACCAGATACCTTGGGCGGAAGCTTCCGTGAGTACCAACTTTGCCAGTCTTGCTAGTTGTACGTTCCATTTAACTCTTACTGTGTGATCCTTGTCCGCTCGATGCCTGTGCTTCCAATGATAGTGATTGTCTCTGCCGTGATGAGGGCCTATGAATTACTGCTACTATTCGACGACTGGTTTTTGACTGGCTACTGGCTAGCGTTTGTTGTGATTGTTACTCGTGCTAAGACCAATGTCCGTAGTCGTGCTGGTTCAATGCGTTCCAGGGCTTCTACAGCACCACTCCAACTGTCAAACTGATTGCCGGTATGCTGTTCGTTTCTATGTGTTAATGCCGCCTAAGGTTCATTGGATGGATAACTCAAATCCATAGGAAGACTCAAAAAGGCCAGCCATTCTGCAGCTGGGGCTGGATGGATAACTCAAATCAATAGGTTCAATAGGAAGACTGTAGCACTACCGGCAGCCAGCGACCCGCCACGTAGAAGCAGACTTCTCGTGAGCAGTGAGCGGCAGGCCAGAGTACCAGCACCTGGCATGTCCGGCCGTGCCTTTGGCGTACCGCCTCTGGTCGAACTTCCCAACTTGCTTGGAGCTCGGAGAGCGTGTGCTCACAGTTCACCCCCGCTTCGAGGGCGAATTTCAGAGATCGGTATTAAACAAAACTGTCAGCAGAGGAGAAGCCAGGGCGCACTGCAACACCATGTGTGGCAAGCTTTGCGGACTGCCCACTCACTGTCCCTAGGAGTCTTCAAAGAGCTAATTTCAAGATATCCGAAACCAAAAGACGACTGAACAGAGCGCTCAATGCTCCTGAGGCGCTCCATCGCGTCTTCGAGACCTGGCACGTTTCACGGCTGCCCGGACTGCAACAGAGAGCCGTGACGAAGCAGTAACGCTTCCCTGTGCAATTCTTGACACTCTTGGGTGCACCTTGACCTGGTCGATCCCTGCATCGGAACGTAACGTGGTCTGTTGCTGCCGTTTCACGTCAACTGCCTGCCCCTCCAAACTTCGAGTCTTATCACCGTAGCTGTCCGTTTCTGTGGGTGCGCTCGTCCTCCGTGTGGCGGGATACCTCGTCAGTGTTCCGCAGTCATCTTGATCCACAGTCTTCTGGTTGTCGTGTGTGTACTACAGCGTCATCCTTCCTAGATACCTACGGGAGCCTAGGATTAAACTTTCTGCAAGGATGCATATGTGTCCGGTATGACCGTGGACAACTGGCGGGCAGGCAGCTCGGAGCGATGGCAGGTGTCAGAGACAGAGCAAAGCGATCAGCCGAACTGCCTTCCCAATGAGTTTCAGGCAAGTTATCGGGATTTCCTCAGCGAGGACTGGTTTCCAATATGTTCCAATGCTGTGCGGTTGTCATGAACTCGTAGCAGTTGTGCATGACAGAAGCTTTGATGTTTGCATGTTCAGATGCAGAGTCCAGCGTTGATTCGCCAACATAAGAAGATAAGAACTGTCATGCCAAAGCAATCCTTGCAGAAAAGAGACATGACATGCTTTATGATTCATCAGAAGACTGAGTGGGCTCCGAAACATTTTGCCAACTCCACCTGCTTCTGCGATATCAGCCTCCTGCTTCAGACGATGACCCACATTGTCCTACTGTACATTGCCACTGCGGCGCTGTTGCCGAGCAATGTCGCTTCATTTACCAACGTTGCGGCTCAACTCATAGTCGTGCATTTGGGTTCTTGCAAACACGAGTCGGAACCCCATCAATCCGAGTTGCACTGACGACAAAAAGCCTGTTACAGTGTATTGCCACCCAGATGTCCTCTATGATAAGATAAGAAATGTTGCCGACAAATTTACCGACACTAGGACTACAACTACAACGTCTCGCACTTCGCTGGCGGTGACCCGACGTTTCGTCTGTCCAAGGCAAGCCGAACATACAAGGATAAAGACGGCTCAAGCCCTGCATTTCATGACTGGTGGGTCGCTTTTGGTTTCGAGGGCAGTCTCGCTGTTACATTGCTCCATTTGGGCAAAATTTTCGAGGGCTTGTGGGTCAGAGGCATGGTGGAACCCTACGGCCACCTCGGACCCTGGCTGGGGTTGGCACCGAAAACGTTCATGTCTGGCTCGAGCGTTTTCCGTGCTATTGGGCCCAGTCGTAGCAAGCATGGGCTGTTGTCTGGAGAGATTTCGCCTGGATGAGACAATCCCAGGGATCCGCCATGTGGTGATGCTTCTTGACTGGTTGGTTTCGGGCGCAATCAGGCCCTGTCAGGTTTGCAAGAGGAGAACACGTATCGATCCTCCCGCATGCGCTGCTATGCATGAAGCGGTAGTATGAGCAAAAGAGTGGTGGTAGTGGTGGTAGTAGTAGTAGTAGCAGTAGTAGTAGTAGTAGTAGGAGAAGTAGAGGAGGAAGAAGAAGAAGTGGTGGTGGTGGTGGTAGTGGTAGTAGCATTCATTCCTCACGCAGCGAAAGGTCCTCGATCGCCTAGCGAGCTGACAAGATACAAGGTTTTCTTGTATCCTGGAACCTTGAAGGTTCTGGAGGGCTTGTAGCCAGCTCCATCTCTGCAGATCAATCCTTTCAATCGATCCGTCACAAACTCACTCCTCAGATGTCACATTTGCACCGTTCGCCGGGGCCTGCATGAGCCAGATCAGGTAGATGGCACTGTCGTGCTCTCGCAGTATCGGCTGTGGCACACTCTCATCATCTGAAAGCCACACTTTTTCTGTCCCAAACTTCGGCTGACCGAGCATGGCCGTTCTGTAGTGGCCCGACGTGGGTCGAGCACCGTAATGCAGCTGCATCGCAACAACCTGGTATGGTGCAAGGTGTGCCGTATGCTCATGTGGCGAATCAAAAATCGGCATATGCACAAGACATTGGTAGCCCAGCAACGACCTGTGGTCTCGTCGCATGACCCCTTCTTCCCAAATGAACCTGGGAATCTGCAGGCAGACGAGAGGTGTCTGTTGGGTCAAGGCGTGCACTGATGCCTGAGCATGCCACTGATCAATCATTGATTGCAAAATCAGTTGCTCCCCTGCATGCAGACTCAGGGTCACCGGGGCAAGGGTGGTGCCTCTGTCGGTGACATGAATAACGTCGTCAGTTCTGCATCTGGCCTCCCAAGAACCTTGGAATCCCTGCTGATGGAGCCTGGGCAAGAGGTAGGCAACCAGCTCCGCGACATCATGCTGACTGTGTAGGTGGTTCCAAGCTTGCAGCTGGGTCAACAGAGGCAGATGATTGAGCACCTGGGTGGATGTAGCATGGCGAGTGGTCTGTACCTGAGCAAGGAAGCTGAGGGCTGGGACCAGAGCCTGTTGGAGAATACCATGAAGTTTGGCCTGAAGCAAGGTCCATACCAAAGCAATCAGGGTGGAGTTCAGGTAACAGAGATTGGAGGGATTTTTGAGAGATAGCTTCAGGAGCCTGGCAAGACCGGGCTGCGCACTCATTGATAGCTCCAAATCTCCGCGTCGAAGACGACACCCCAGCACATGCCACGCTGCGCTCCCGATCCAGCTCTGCAATGTCGACCACACCGGCGCTGCGTCCGGTCGAAGGGAAACCACCAGTTGAAACTGTATCCATTCGGCCTTGACTGGAATCGTAGGATCGTCTCCTCTGTAGAGCCCCGCCTCATCTGCACTAGCTGGGTCAGCAGATCCTTGGTGGGGACCCCTCTGACCGTGGAATCGACCTCCAGAGCCTGTTGGCCTGGATTCCAGCGCAGGGTCAACCAGTGACCCTCTGAGTCGACCCATCCAAGCGATTTGGCATGTGTCAGCGCCTCCTCTTTCTGGCTCGCTGCTTCCAACCGCTCGTGCATCGTGATCAGCAGCTGCTTGAAGAGAGCAATCTTGAGGGAGTAACTCAGCTTGGACGGTGCTTCCTCCTTGGTGGTTCACCATTTGGTTGCTGTCTCGCATAGAATCGGGATCATGCCGGATTCTCCGTTCTTCATGAACAGATGCATCACCATGTCCTGGCGGAGAGATGCAAGTGTCTGTTCTTGGCGTAGAACAAGCTGGGTAAGCTTGTAGACCTTGCCCTCGAGCCAGTCCTGGGGGGCTTCGGAGTCTTTGTACTCGGACAGTGCATCCTCCCTCCCCCAGGGCGTGTCCAGTCCGCTTCTTGAACCACTGCTGTATGCCCACATCGCTGCTGCTGGGTACATCCCTCGCTCCATCTTGGGTCCGAGCTGTGGCCCTCCTTTCCCCTTTCCTTTGCCCCGTCCTTTGCCTTTGTGGCTCTTCCCCTGACCTTTGGCATCTGTCTCCGTGCGCTGCCTCTTGGCTCCCCCGTTGTGGGAGGCTGGGTCTCCCAGAGCCCCGGAGGTGGAGGGCGGGGTTTTCCGTAGTGGCCCCAAGTGTCCGAAGAAGAGAGCCTCCTGCGCATCCAGGTCCATCTCTGTTGGTGTGGTGGTCATGGCGGTATCGGACAAATAGGATGGAGCAGGCACTAAGGACAGGACATTGATACCAATGTCGGTCGGGGTTAACATCCCGTTGAGAACAGTATCTGCATGGGAGGGTAACATGTCTCCTGAAACCTTGCAACAAGTGTTTCGCCTCGGGCCAACAGCTGGTCCATTCCGGGTGCTGCACAGTCATGTGGCACTTAACAGCAGCAGGGGTGGCTGCCCATTGGAAGCAGAGCGGACAGCGATGCAGGAGATAGGCCTGAACTTCCGAGTCTCTGAGCAGTGCCTCCCAATGTCCTTGTCGCAGGAGTTTCTGTACTCGTGGCCATTTGATATAAGAGGCAGGTCCTGCTGGAGGGTGGTCGACGGCTCCACGGGTTGTGGATCCAATGTCGAGGTCTCCTGAGCAGCAACCTGGGGATGGGTCAGTGTTGTGGCAGATGATCCGGACAAAGGCGGTAAGGTCTCGACCAGGGGTCGCGAGCTGGTCACAGGAGAATGGCTGGTAGTTAGCCGGCACTGTGTGGGTGAGGAAGGAGGCTCATTCCTGTGCACCGGCGGAGAGTCAGCAGAGCTAGTCTCTACCGGGATGGGGACAGTGGATTTCGCAGCCTCAGCAGTGGTCAAGGGGGTGAAAACCTTCTCAGGAGAGAGGAGGGCAGGCTGAGAAGTGGGACATCTGAGCTTCTGGCATCTCTGCCACTGGATGTGCTTCACGAGGCTGTCCCATTGCCTAAATCGAGTACCGCAATGTCGGCAAGTGGGGAGTCCTTGTAGACCATGTAGGTTTCAATCAAACATCTCGCCTGTGGCTCTTGGTGTCTTCCTGCCATGCCATTTGGCCTCGTGAGAGCGGAGCAATCGGAAGGAATTGAAGGCACGATTGCAGGTGGAGCAATGATATGCAGCCTCCGAATAGCCAGCGGGCTCTGGCTGTGTCCACTGAGACTCAGTGGCCACTTGGAGACCTGCTGCATACGTTCTGGTGGATTCAACCTGCTCAGATCTGATGAAGGGAACCTCTGTCGCCAGGAGACGAAGTCTGCCTAGAAAGGCCGTGGATTCCTTAAGCAGCTGAGCCGTGGCCGTAGGGATGTTACATCGTTCATGTAGGTGTTTAGTAGATTCGTGTTGCAGATGCGCAAATGAGTGAGTCATGGCTCTGAGATGTTTGCTGATCATGGCTTGCGTGCGTTGGACATCCTTGGTCGCTGGCTCTACCGCAGCCAGCCCATACATGAGGGTGGGAAGGATGGTAGCCTTCCACAGTGTAAGGCGTTGGCTGAGCTCAAGTTGGCGAGGCGCACATAGGATCCTTCGAAGCCTCTGCCAGGCCTGATTGGCCGCTTGTAAACGATGTGACACTGTCTGCTTCGGCATGTCCTGGTAGGACAGGCTTACTCCAAGATAGGTGTGCTTGTCTTTGATCGGGATCCTGTACTCTCGTCCTTGCGAGCTGCGAAATCTCAGAACATGACCATCCTTGACTGCCACTCGATGTCGGCGCAACCAGGTCTTGAGGAAGTGACCTCTGTAACGGATAAGGATGGCCGATTTGGTGGTGTTTATGACCATGTCATGTCGCGTGAGGGCATCGAGCACTAGGCCGAAGTAGTGCATAGCCCGATCAAGTTGGGCAACCGAGCGACAGCAGGCCTTGAGGTGGATGTCGTCAGCATAGGTTGTCATGTTGTCCTGGAGCCAAGTAGGGGGAATGGGGTCAGAGGTGCCCATGGTTTCTTTGGCTATGCATCCGACTGCCATCGCCCACAACAGGGGTGCCAATTGGCACCCCTGTCGCAGGCCCTGCTGTGCTATGACCCGCGCCTGTTTGCCAAGGTGAGTGATGGAATAGGTAATGCAATGGTACCATGACATCACCTGATCGGACAATTCTTGTGGGACCCCTGCTTCCGACAGGGAGCGAGCAAGTAATCTCCAATCCACCAGATCGAAGGCCGAGGACATGTCCAACGACAACTGGATTCCCGCGAAGTTGGGCTCCGCCTGAGGTAAATTCTCCTGGCGATCAGCAATCGTACGAAGGCCATGAGCACACTTGCTCTTCACGTATGTACAATGTTGTGAGGCCCGTTGTATTGCCATACTGGCATCACGATTCGGAAGATACGCAAACTGGGCTATCCCTTGAAGATACTGGGTGGCGTATGGCCGTAACTTCAGTTGCAATAGTTTCGCGCATGCCCGTCCTGAGGATTCGGTGAGTCCAATAGGACGTAAGTTCTTGGGCGAAAGGGGCCTTGGAACCTTAGGCACAAGGACAAGGGAAGCATCCCGCCATTCGCATGGGATTTGTTCCCAGGCCCGGGCCCAATCGCACACTACTGGTGCAACCAGGTCTGCTACCATCCTCCAGAGGGAGTTGGTGGCCAGACCTGGAGGCGTGGCTTTGTGTGGAGACAGGGATGCCAAGGCTTCTGCGAATTCGGCCTCCTGGAGATGAAGACAGATGGTGGTGCGGGGGGGCCCTGCCTTTGCGGGGGGTTCGTCCGCAGCATAGAGTTTTCTGTAATGTGTCTCAAGTTGTTTGATCTGGGCGGCCTCGTCCTGCAGTCTTCCATGTGGGTCTCGAAGCTGGACTTTCGTCTTGACCTGTTTAGGTGCAAGAGTCCTAATATGTCGATATAGAGTCCTGGTGTCCCCCGAGGTCGCGGCGGATTGAAGATCTTTCAGCCTTCCTTGAAACCATTGTTTTCGACTGGCCTTCCCCGCTTTTCGAAAGTCTTTGTGTGCCTGCTTGAAAGTGTGGTAGGCACGAGAGATGGCGAGAAGACTGGTAGGGGCAGTCCTTGCCAGGGTCTTCCACTCGTGATAAGCTGCCCACATGGCTTTGATTCCACCCTGCATGTGGGGGGTCTGCCAAAGGGCCAGGCGTTGGGAGCCTGGGGGGGACGGGAAGACCTCCATGGCACACTGGATTAGAAGCTGATTTAGAGAGGCAATGTCAGTAGCCTGCGACAAGCGGGTCCTGCAGAGTTCTCTGAGCCGCTGGCATCTTGGGTCACTCTCGTCTTTGCAGAGTCGTACGACCTCCCAGTGATTCCACTGACGGGCTGCCGGCTTTCTGCCATTGAGCTTGCAGAAGAGTTGTACTGGGATACTGGCCATGATCGGGAGGTGTTTCCCCCCTTGCCGCCATTCAGCCAGGCCTAAGTGAACTCGGCGTGCTTGCTTGGCTCTGTTGTCGGCCTGAGTGGTCCTCATGAGGAGGTGATCTATCAGGCTTTCCCCTTTCTGATGGACGTATGTTGCACCAGTCTGTCGAGACCATGAGTTAAGATGTAGTAGAGCATACTGCTCCAGGATGTGCTGTAGCTGGAGTTGATCTGGGGGATGTGTCCCCGACCCAACATCAGCTCTGGGACCTACATATCCTCCCGGCATCAGAGGGCAATTGAAGTCCCCCATCAGAACAAGGGTACTTCTCTGAGGTACTCGCTGGACTTGGTCTGCGATGCACCGCCAGATGGTGGCTCGGACAGCTTTGGAGTCAGACGAGGCCTTGGGATGCGAGTTGTAGGTCTTCTGATAGATGTTGAGGATATCGACTGACCATGCTGAGTGTACAACACGGATGTGCTGGACACGTCCTGGATGGGGATCTGCAAACATAACCTGACATTGAGGCAGGAGACTCTTATCAATTAAGGTGATCAGTCCTGCAGACTTTGAGTCTGTCGCCGGTGAGCAATACACCTGCCAGTTGGCAGTGACAAAGGTAGGAGCCACCGTGTCTTTCCAATGTGACTCTTGCACACAGAGGATCTGCGGTCGGGCAGCTGGCGGCAGATGCTGCAATTTGAGGAGCAGTTCATGCCACAGGTCACTTGACAAGCCTCCGGCATTCCAAGTCATGACCAGTATGCGATCCTGACTCCGATGCAGAACGTGCGCCTGTGCACGTTGTTCCGACTTTGGCTTGGGGCGACTACCTTGATATCCAGCACAGAGCTGGCGGAGTGTGCACTGTCGACCTCGATACGTGGTAGTTTGGTCCGGGTGCTGGGCTGCACGCCGAATAGCTCGTTTGTAGGATCTCTTCCTGGCGAAGCTGTGCGGAGCAGGGTCGGCGGGGTTGCCCTCACAGTGCCAGGCAGGACTCATCCTGGGCTCGTTCTGAGTACTGATGTACGAGGGCACATGGTGATGCACCCCACTGGCCGGGGTCACAAGGGCAGACAGTAAGAGGAATCCGGTACAGAGAGACCTACCTCCCAACCTCCTGCAAGATGGGCGGGGCCACGTCGGTTGAGGCCTGGGAGAAGGGTCAGGGCGTGTCAGAGGCAGTCCTGTCTCAGCCTGGGGAGTCCGAGGTCCCGACAGGCGAGGGCCGTGTGGGCCAGATATGAAGTGGGTAAGGTATGGGAGTGCTGGAGCCCGGGACATCACATGTTGAATCAGTACTCGGCACCTGTAGCGAAGACGATAAACTGGTTTAGGAAAGCAGAAGTGGTGCATGACTCGGCTGCAGTACTGAAGAAGACAGTTGATAGTCCGATGAGTGGAGCGAGCGTGAGTCGGTCCTCTGTGGGGGTCTCGGCTTCTCCAACATACAATCATACAGGTAGACAAAATTTCAGAGAGGATGTGAGGAGTCTGTAGCAGGGAGCCAAACGGGGCAGTCCCTACTGGAGTGAGTCTGTTGTGTAGCTCCTGCCATGGCTTCCCGCAGGACATCCAGGGACGTCCAGACGGTCTCGTGAGTGGATGGCAGCCACTCACAACCCTCACCCCCACCGGCAACTTAGCCCCTGGAAAACAGGCTTGAGTCATTTGCCGGGCTCCGGCATTGGGGCCGGAGTGGCTCATAAGTAAGCAGAGGATGTTGAATGAAGTCTTGGAGCTCCCAGGATCGTCCGTATGTGATGACGATGGAGGGGGGTAGGACATAGTGCTGCCCGGGTTGGTTCTGCTCAAATAATAGGCTAGCATCTCAGTCCATACTATCCAAGTCCAGCACTTGTAGCTGAGACTGGTGGCCAGGCTCAGGAATCTTGTTGTGATTCGGACCTCGACGGCGGGGGGTCGGAGGTCCTCGCCCTCCTCTACGATCATGCATCTCACGGCAATAACAGCATCCCGGATTGGAGAGGTAGTAGGTGAGCACGGCCGGAGAGTCCTGCAGTCAGGGCGAACTGAGGTACCAACCAAGAGCTCCCGAGGCGTGCCTCCGAGTGGTGGTACCAGTGCCTCATGCAGACCTGGGTGCCAGTCATCAAGCACGATATAAGATCCCCAACTCTTCACCAGGGAGACTGCTTTGTGGGGGTCTCGGCATCCAGGCAGTTCAGTGGCATGGGCATCAGCCGGAACGGTATCTGACAAGCTAGCTAAGCAAGCGAGCGTAGTGTGTGCAGGGGGGGCACATGGGAGCATCCTCACCTCCGGGGCATGAGCGGATCCATGATTGGTCAGAGGGAGGTCGTGCCTTCCTGGCGCAGCGACTCGCGAACGCCTATGCTCTAAGGGAGCTCTCACTGTGGCAGTCCTTTCACAGACATCGCAGGTGTCAGGGTCCTGGTAACAGTCTGTCCAGCCCTGAGGCAGTCGACTCGAGTGTACATAGCTAGAGGAGGACAGACTGGGCCTGTTGCCAGTGCCGCAGACAGACCTCCACTGGAAGTGACATGGCCAGAATCGGTGGCCAGGTGTGTGCTGTACGGAAGCAGGGTCGCGGCCGGTATGCTGGTAGCCGTGCGAGGACCTGGATGAAGCCCTGAGTGCGGCTGCCACAGCTGCACAGTCTGGGCGAGATGGACTTGGCCGACCACCTGCCAGGATGTGAGCCTGGGTCTTGGCATCGTGATGGTCGATGCTCCAGGGCCTGTGTGCGGTCGTTTCAGAACCTGACAGTAGAGCTGCGCAACTCCAGGGGCAGTGTAAGCTCGCTGCAGAGAGGACCAATTGGCTGTGGTGGAACCTGAGAATCACTGACCAGGGGGAGGAGGGAAGCCTCCCCAGCTTATGGGTCTGGGTCGTCCAGTCATTAAGGAGTCGCAACATACCAAGGACCTGGCAGACTTCGTCAGAGGTGGAAAGTCTCAGCCTGGGCATGGAACAAGATAAGATGCACAGTCGCTCTGGAAGTGAGCAGACCAGAAAAGTCAACGAAGGCAGGGCCCTCTTGTAGCAGGCAGAGGATCCTTTGGATTGATCGGTCGGACTCTCTGTACACTTCTGACGACCCGTTGGGTCTGAGGGAGCTGCCGCTCCACCCACTTCATCAGCTGTGGCATCCTTTTCGTCATCCATCGGTAGAAGCCAGAAGGGTCGCTTGGTAGGTCGAGGCGGGCCCTTGGCTTTCCTGATCACACGCTTGGCAGCTCTGTCCTTGGCCCTCCTCTGTAGCATTCGTCTGGCCCACGGTGGAATATCCGCCTCCGGTGTCTGAACAGCAGCCGAGGAATCGGAGACACTGGCAGCAGGGTCTTCTGTGATTTCCGGAGTTCCAGCATCCGGGCCTGGTGCCTGGCTGGACGGTGCTGCCTCGAAGGATGCGGACTTGGACTTGAGTGATTGAGTTCTCTTCTCACCCCGGTCTTCAGTTCCTGCAGGAGGATCAGTCGTCTTGACAGCGCAGACAGTGTCTCCAGGAGCGGTGGTGGGCTCAAGGCGTGAGGAGGTAGAAGGCTCCTTCATCGGGTCGTTTTCCAGGATCCGAGGGCGCTTTTTCGGCTTCGGCTTGGCATATTCCTTCTGCGTAGTCCCAGACTGCAGCGAGGGGTTGTCCTGAGCCGTATCCACTGGCTGTGGTTTTGTCTTGGGCTGTGGCATGCCCTGCGGATGGATAGGCATAGGCGGGTCATTGGTCGTCAAGACGATGGACCCCACGTGTAGAGTGCATCGGCCAGGTTCCAGCCATTCGGTGCTGGGAGACCTGGACTTGTGCCGCTTGGGTCGCGACTCCTCAGACCGGGTAGGCCCCTTCTCTGGCAAAGAACTTGTGCCAGACCGTCACCTCGCCGTCAGACGAGTGAGAGGAGGTGGGTACAGACGCCATCGCAAGGATACCTCCATGCCATCGTCCCCGCTGAATGTCTTCATCGGACCTGGCCGGAGGTGCTGCAGATCAACTGTGACCAGCTTTCCCCGTGGCCCGTGCCGGTGATCCGTCAACATCACCGTCCGCGTAGCCTCGTCTCCACAGAAGGCTGCAGCTCCAGCTGCTGCCGGCAATATCATTGCATGAGCACCATGTAGGTTCCTCCTCGCCCCTCCGCATATGACCACGTTGGCCCCTACATCGTAGGGGTCCTCCTCTGGTGGGGCCAGGTCATCCTCCACCGTGACGATGTCATAGTCATCCTCCTCGGCTATCACTTCGGCGGAGGGCCTGTCATCTCGGGAACTTCTCGCCGTACTCGTGGCAATGCGAGGGCCGGTCCTTCGTCGCCCCATGGTGGAGGGCTTACACCAAGAAGCTTGAGCCCTGGTCGGTGGAGAAGGGTGCAGTGGTTTCAGCAGCTCGGTGTCTGCTTGCACAGTCCCTTTATAAGCACGAGCACACTGGACAAGACTGCATGCTGATTGGAAGCAATACCCTGAATTATGTAGCGTGTCTAAGTCCTCGACCGGTCTGGCCCTGAGGGGAGCGGCGAGGTCGAGATGGGCGATGTGCCCACAGGTTCGCGGCCAGATGCAGCAGTGTCTCCTGCAGACATTGTCTTTGAGAACGGCACGCCAGAGTCCTGGGCAACCTGTTCGAAGAATGTGTACAGGAAGTACCATCTCACAGACCTGGGCGTCACAGGCAAATGGGAGTAAGGCTAATGTCCTGGTCATCGTCAACCTACAGGGACAGCATTCCTACAGCGGGTGTTTTTGGAGTCTGCACACCGGAAGATCAGCTCTCTGAATCTCCATTGCGAGTATGGAGGCTGTACACACATAGCCCGGTAGGAAGCAGGCTACCTGTTGAAGGCAGAAGCCATTACCTGAGTGTGGTCGGCTGGATCGTAATAGTGATCGTCCAGCCCGGCCATTGGGCAGTTGTAGTGGTAGTCGGTGCAGCCCCTGCCATCTTCGCTTTGGCACTTGGGTATGACTTGGGTGCTGGAGGCGCCGGTGCACTTGGAATCGTCGGCCCAGCCACACCACCCGGGATAGGAGTGCCAGCTGGAATGGGTCCTGGCAGCATCGCTCCTGAGCCTGTTGGCAGTCCATGCGCAGGTAGAGCAAAAGGCGTAGCAATACCTGCAGGGGAGCTCGCCTTGGAAGGGCCACTCGGAGTTGTGCTTGAGGCATCCACGGTTGCCGGCATCGGTGGAGGTGGACCTGAGACCGGATGCACACCTGGGACACCGCTGCCGTAGACGACACTGCCACGTGGTGTTCTGCTCCTCGAGGGTGCGTCGCGAGAGGCATGCACCGGAGTCGGAGGTGGAGGCCCAGCTGGTGGTCTGGCCGGTCCTGAGGAGGGAGCTGAAGGGACAGTGTCCTCGTCGCTGGACTCCAGCCAAAAGCGGCGTGTGGATGAGGATGTATCGCTGCTCGGTGCCTTAAGCCGGTCGCCTCCTGGGCTTCGCTGCTGCCGTCGCAGCCCGCTTCGCACCTCTCGGTGGCATGGCAGCACACGACCCTGGCAACTGTGCAATCCTGAATCCCAAGGGGGCGATTCTTCGCTGCTGTGGAGCCAAGCATCACACAAGTACTGCTGGGCGTCTGACTGACAATCAAGAGTGCTGCCACAAGCAGAGAACAGCTGATCTGATGGGAGCTCAGGCGTCGGCGTGGATAGGACGGTTGTGTCTCCAAGACGGGTCAGCAGGAACAGCCCTTGAAGGAAGTGACTGCGGGGAAGAACCATCCTGCAGCCTACAGCTTTGTTTCCTTTCGGGCAGCGAGCCAGCTAGTGATCACTCTTTACGTTGAAAGTCGAGCCCAGGTTTTCAAAGATCATCACTCATGCTTGAGCCAGGGGCTTAGTGGTAGTAGCAGTAGCAGTAGC